GGGGGGGGGGGATGTGCGGACACCTGGCTCCGGGGCGCGTGTGTGGAAGAAAATAAAGCGCGCGCCCGCGCGATCGGGTGGGGCGCCGATCTCGAGAGTGGCGCCCTTTGGGGACGGCCGTGCCGCCGTGTGGGGAGATTCAAAAAACAGTTTCATCCAGACGTCCTCGTGACTTGTCCGTGATCAGACACGAGGGCCCTAGGGCTCGTCATCCATGGCCTCGTCTGCGGGAGAGGGGGCGCGTCTGGCACGGCCGAGGCGCGGGCCTGCGCGCGTGTGTCTGCGGGGCGGCCTCCTCCGTGTGGGACTTCATCCCCGCCCTGGTGGTGGTGGTGGTGGTGGTGGTGGGAGACTTTCGCTTGGCCATGCACCTCTGGAGGGCGGGGCTGGTTGCGCGTTGGGCGCCAAAAAGCCGGCTTTAATATTGGTCCGGGTGTTGTTGGTGCGTGCGTCCCATCAGACACGGGGGGTTCCGGTCGGGAGGCCAATACGGAGCCATCTGCGCCCCGGGCCAGAGTGCCCTATGAACCGACGCCCGGAACCTCTCACAACACCGCTCAGCAATAATAGAGTAAGGGCGGCGCCCGAGAGACAGCGCCCAGGAACAGGGGTGCGAGGGCTGAGCGGAAGGGGGGGAGGGGCTCCCCCAGAGTGCGGGGCACCTTGGCTCGCCAGCCCCCCCCCCCCCCCCCGCAGCCGCGGTCGCAGCTGGAGCTGCTCTGCGCAGCATCGGAGGGCGAGGTGGTGGAACACAGCCGAGGCTCCTTTTTCAGCTTGGCCCTGGTCTCTCGGGTTCTCCTCAGCCCGGCCCCGAGAGGCCCGCAGGCCGGGGCTCGCGCGTATGCGCGCCGCGGCGCGGGGGCAGCGGGGGGCGGGGGCGACCCATTTGTTGCCCCTCCACCGGAAAGCGGAGCAAGTGTGACCGTAACCGGGACAAGACCGATGACCGCCTCGGTACCGAAAAATAAATAGCCCCCCCCCCCCCCTCCCCCCAGGTGTTGGGCGTCCCTATCCGCTTGCCCTGCGTTTGTCTCCGGCTCTCCCTCTCTCCCGGCAGGGGGAGCGGGGCCATGCGCAAAATGCGCGCCCGCACGGCCGGGGCCGGGGCACCCTGGGCCTTGTCTCGGCCTGGCCCCCCCCCCCCCTCCGCCCCAAGATGCAGACTGGGGACCTACATTCGGGCAGAGGGCAGATGCTGGCCCTATCACCCTTTGTTGTTGTTGCCCCCCTCCCCCCCCCGCTGGCCCTTCTGGTCCACGGGACGCGTCCCGCCCACTGACCCAACGAGGATAGCGCCAAGTCAAGGGCGGGGGCCTGACCGAGGACCCCCGAATTCGGCGCCGTGGCTGTGTGCCGAGCGCCGGGCCAATAAGAGCCCGCGCAGGTTCCGATCCACTCCGCCGCCAGGCGGGTCGCACAACCACCCCGCCTCCAGGACAGTCTTCCCCACCAGACTTCCCGCCCCCTCCCCTCCCCCTCCGATCCCTCTGCTCTCCGCCGCACACATGTACCTCCCCCTAGCCCTCCTCTCTCTCTCTCTCCCTCGCCCTTCCCCCCTTCTCTTCCTCTCTCGCCTCCCGGCCCCTCCCGCTTTCCTATGCTCCCCCCTCCCCGTCGCCTCTCCCCCCGCTGCCGATGTGGCAGCATCACCCCTCTCATGGTCATGCGCGCTTGGGGACTCTTCCGTGTTGCCTGGACCCATAGCCTGTTGGATGTTTCACATGCTGTCTACTCCTGCCCCAGTTTTCAGGCGGGGCGGCGCTCGTCCTTGAAAGACGTGGCGCACACCGCCGGGACACCACCGCATGACTTCACGGGTGGCTACTGCGCACCAGCCACGGAAGTGCTCCTTCTTCCAAGGTGGCATAGCCACCTCGCGCACACTGTGCTTGTTGTTGCCACCTCGCCCTCGAGGATGCAGCACCCGCACCGGCGTGTCGCCATCACCCAGTGACGATGCCATGTGGCTGCCCTTTGCTTGCTGGCTTAGTGGGCGGCCTCGTCCTTGATCGCCCCTTGGGCACCCTCCTCACCCATCTTCCCCCCCTCCCCCCCCCCACACACACGCACCCAATCCCACGTATTCAAGAGGCTTTTCCCGATACTAATCTCCGCCTCTGCTCCCTCTTCTCTCTCCCTGCATCCCCCCTCCTCCCGCTAGTTGTGCAGCCTCTACCACCCTCCCCGAGCAGCATGTCTTTCTCTGAGGTTGTCTGCCCCGCCTACGCTCCCTTCTTCGGCATGGCTGGCGGCACCCTTTCCATGGTTTTCAGCGGTACGCGGCTGCCTCCTACGCCTTGTGCCCCCTCCTGCATGGCTGCCCGACTAATCCCTCTCTTCTTGTCCTCCCCCTCCCCACTTCGCATGCAGCCATCGGTGCCGCTTACGGTACTGCCAAGGCCGGGACCGGTATCGTCGGTATCTCTACCTTCAAGCCGGAGGCTGTCATGAAGTCTCTCATTCCTGTCGTCATGGCTGGTATCGTGGCCATTTATGGCCTGGTCGTTGCCGTGCTCATCTCCTCCGGTATTGGTACCCCGGGTGGTGCTTACTCCCTGGCCAGGTGCGTCGCCAGTTGCCATGTCCATGTGTCCCCCCCCCCCCCCTCCCCCCCTTCCCTACTCCGATTCCTGGTGGCCGGCCTGCCCTAACATCATCCTTTCTGCTTGCCTTCCCCTTCTCCCCGGTTTCTCTGCGATGTAGTGGTCTTGTCCATCTTGGCGCCGGTTTGAGCACTGGTCTGGCCGGTATGGCGGCTGGCATTGCTGTCGGCTTCATTGGTGACGCCGCCGTTCGCGGCTACCTCCACCAGCCCAAGGTATGTTTCCCATCCGATGCCCATCTCTTCCGCGAGAGGATGTGCGCAGTATTGCCCCGGGCATGCGGCTTTCCCTTCTAACCTCCCTCCTGTCACCTCCTCCCTTCCCCCGTGTGTAGCTCTTCGTCGGCATGGTGCTCATGCTCATTTTCGCCGAGGTCATCGGTCTCTACGGCCTGATTGTTGGCCTGATCCTGCAGACCCGTGCTGACAACAGCATCTGCTTCCAGAACTAAAGTGTGTCACCGCATGCTGTACATCCCCCCCCCCCCCATGGCGGGTGGAGGGCTGCCGTAGGGCATCATCCTGCCCTCCCCCTCTCCCTCCCACCATGTTTCCTTGTCACTCCCGCACCTTCAAATCCCTCCCTCCTCAGTCCTCCCCCCCCCCTCTCCTCCCTTCGCATCTGGAGTGGGATGTGGCCGAGGCTAGGCGTGTAGCACCATGCCCGTCCTCCCATGTCCCTCTCCCAGCAGCATGCTCTCCCTTTCAATATAAACGATAAATATGTACACACGCACACGCGGGCCACGGACTCTCTCCGTCCAGCGCGGCGCGCCAGGGGGAGATCCCAGCCGCAGAGTGATGGCAGCCGAGCAGGCGCCGAGGGGCCAGGAGTGCGGGGCTTGGTCTCACACCGAGGGCGGCCGCGGGGGCCGAGCCGTGGAGCATGGAAATGGTGGCAAGGCGCGAGCTTCCAAAAGGGTGTCGACGCACTTGGCAGCTGGATGCTCATCCGAAGGCCAAGGCCGGGGAGCCACCCAATCGCCAGTCACGTGCCAGGCATGACAGATTGACGGGGACCGCACGCCCACTGAGTCGGGCTCGTCGCGGGCCGGGGGGGGGGGGGGGGATGCGTGGCCAGCCGTGAAAGAGAGGACACCCCGGGGTCACACGGAAAGCCAGAGCAACAAAAACACGGGAAGGGGATTGAGCAGGCATCAGCCCAACGGAGAGGGCAAACGTGAAAGCTGGGGCTGTGCGCCAGTTTGGACATTGGTCCGTGAACGCGCACAACACGCCCACAGTCTCACTTGCTGCCTGGGCCGCCCGCGCAGCCGAGCGCTTCTCGATGGATGCCACATTCTGGAGGCCTTGAGACAGAGGCACCTGACCTGCGCAGCCGCATTGGAGGGGACCAGGCGCTCTTGAGCGGCCCCGATCTAGGGGCCCGCGGGTGGAGCCTTCTTGAGGCTCGATCGAACTGGGCCTCCTCTATTTCCCGGACCCACACCTCTCCCTCCCCCGATCCGAGGCGGCCTCCCT